CCACCCCCCCGCCAGTGACACACTTTCTACAAGGCCACCCCTATAGTGCCACTCCCTATAGATCACGCATTCAAACACGTGAGTCTATGGGGGCGATACCTATTCAAACCACCATCCTGGGGTATTACTGTGATCGGCCAGACTATGCTTTTCTTTGGAGGAATGTGGACTTTGGATTAGAAAAGGAGTTGAATGCTTTATGTGGGGCTTAATGGGCCATCCTAGAAAGAACATGGATGATGGTGCTAAGTGTGACTTGAACTGTGGGGACCTGGGGACCTGGATCAAGAGGTTTCAGAGGAGAAGAATACTGTTTGTGGCCTATAGACTGTTCTTATGATATTTTGGTGAAAATGTGTCTGTTTTATGGCTTTACAGAGGACCAGGGTTGGATTCCCAGCACTACATGGTGGCTCATGACCACCTGTAACCCCAGTTCCAGGGAATCCAACAGACACACATGTGGTGTACATACATGTATGCAGGCAAATTATTCATACATATTGTGGTAGTTTGAATGAAAATTGCCATAGGCTCATAGGGACTGGCACTATGGGAGATGTAGCCTTGGAGTAGGTATGGTATTGTTGGAGGAAGTGTATCACTGGGGGCAGGCTTTGAAGTCTTGGAAGCTCAAGCAATAAAAACCTAATATAGAAGCTGGTACCAGGGACTGGGTGTCTTAGTTAGGGTTTCTATTGCTGTAAGAGACACCATGTCCATGGCAACTCTTATAAAAGAAAGCATTTAGCTGGAGCTGGCTTACAGTTTCAGGGATTCAGTCCATCATCATCACGGCAAGAAGCATGGTGGTAGGCAGGCAGACACGATACTAGAGAAGGAGTTGAGAGGTCTACATCTTGATCCACAGGCAAAAGGAAGTAAACTGTGTTCCACACTGGGTGTACCTTGAGTATATGAGACCTCAAAGCCACCCCCCACAGTGACACACTTTCTACAAGGCCACACCTATCCAACAAGGCCACACCTATAGTGCCACTCCCTATAGGTCACGCATTCAAACAGTGAGTCTTTGGGGGCGATATCTATTCAAACCACCATCCTGGGGTATTACTGTGATCTGCCAGACCATGCTTTTCTTTGGAGGAATGTGGACTTTGGATTAGAAAAGGAGTTGAATGCTTTACGTGGGGCTTAATGGGCCATTCTAGAAAGAACATGGATGATGGTGCTAAGTGTGACTTGCTGTGGGGACCTGGATCAAGAGGTTTCAGAGGAGAAGAATACTGTTTGTGGCCTATAGACTGTTCTTATGATATTTTGGTGAAAATGTGTCTGTTTTGGTTAAGGCAAGAGGATGAGGAGTTCAAGGTCACCTATGGCTGCATAGTGAATTCAAATCCAGCCTAAGCTTCATGAGATCCTGTCTCAAAACCC